CCGCGGGGCCCCGGGCACGTCCCGCCCCGCCGAGGCCTGTCGCCCTCCGCGGAGTCGGGGGCGAGCGTAGGAGGAAGGGCGGCCCATGGCGCCTCGACGGCCCGGGGTGGGAGTGCAGGCGAAGAGGCAGCGCGGTGAGGCAGCGCCGGGAGTGCTCGGGGCTGCGAAAGCTGCGTGTCCCTGCACCGTCGCGGGCGGTCTGGGCGCCGGGAAGGCGCCGCAGAGGCAGCGGCCGCCTGACGCCCCTTTCTCCGCAGGTAAAGATCTGGTTTCAGAACCGCCGCTCCAAGTTCAAGAAGATGTGGAAAAGCGGAGAGATCCCAGCGGAGCCACCTCCCCGCCGCAGTTCTTCGCCACCGTCTCCCTCCTCGCCCCCAGCCTGGGACTTCGCTCCGCACCCACGTACCGCGGGCGGCGCCGGCACCTCCAGCCCCAGCCCCGCCGCCGCTTTCCTCGGTAGTTACTCGTGGTACCCGCCGGCCCCCGGCGGCCCGGCGCACCTGCCGGCGGCCGCTCCCCTCCCGCAGCCGGCGCAGCCCCCGCATCACCACGGCAGCGGCAATATCTTCTAGGCGCTGTAGTAGAGACTTGAGCCCGCGGGCCGCAGCCGGCAGCCGCGGGGCACCGACGCGCAGCACGGGTGTTTTGGTGACGCCTGGCTCCGGCCCCGGCCATCCCGCAGGAGAGGAACTGCTCCGCTCCCCGTCCCGCCCCGTTGCCGCCGGCGGAGGGGCCCGTGTGCATTCGGCCGCGTGGGGGTCCTCCCTCCCTCCCGCCGTGAAAACAGCCACGCTGCGAAACAAGTACTCACCTCCCTCACTCCCTCCTCTCCGTCCATCTTCCTCTTCTTCCCCGACATTTGTATCAAACTATCGGTGCAGAACTCTGGTTAACTTTACTTTTTATTTTTTTAAAGTTGACAGGTGCCTTTGCGGATAACCTCACTTTGATGTTGGGGATTAAAAAAATAAAACTATTAAAAAAAAAGGATAAATAATTTTTATATGTAGATTTAAAACAGAAGCCTCCCCTATTTAAGGTATCCGTTTAAGCCGTGAACGAAACCGTCCTACGGGGGCAGGGGCCGGTCGCAGGCGGCGGTGCCGGTACGGCTCCCGCCCGTGCGCTGCCTCTGGGCTCGTTTCGTGCCCCGACGGGGCTTCCTCGCGTCGGGCGCCAGCCGCAGCGAGCCCTCCTCTCCACTCCCTCTCCGCTCTTCCCCCGTCGGCAGCCTAGCCACTGACATGCCCCTGATCTGTTTGATGTCTAGCGTCGTGAAAAAAAAAAACCTGTATTTTTGGTTATTTATTATGGAAAACTTATACACTCATTAATGTTTCTTTTACAATAAGCAGAGAGTATTTAAATAAATTATTGTTTCCATGGTGCCCACGCTGAGTTTTTGGGGATAGGGAAATTTGAGGGTGTCGATTCGGACCCAGACGTTTGCTGAGAGGGAGAGCCGCGTCCCCTCCGCCTCCTCTCCGTTGTAACAGTTGCCGCAAGCCTGCAACTTCCCTCCTCCTTCCCCTCTTTCCCGTCTACAATAAAATCTCGCCCCTGACAGTCTTCTTGGCGAGGCCATGAATCACTCAGCGCTGCCTGCAGCAGCCCAGAGCCGCCCCCCTTCCCCCTCTCCCGCCTGCTGGCGCCAGCGACATTTCACCCGGGACAGACTGTGCTGTCTCACAGCTTCCTATGGCCGTCCGGAGGGATTTGGGGCAGGGCCGATTCGTAGTAGTCCTGGAGCTGCTCCTCGGGCGCAGCCCTGACCATTTCGCCTCGCCCCACCCCGGCAATGGCAACCAAGCCGGTAACCTGCATGGGATCTTTGTTTGGGCCAGAGCTGGTGTTTGTCCCAAGCTCCTCTGGGGTGCTTCGAGGGCTGGAAGCACCTCAAGATGCTCCCCTTTGGGATACAGCCCTTCAGCTTCATCTCGCCTAGCTGAAATCCTCTGGGATGTACCTCGTAAGGGCAGCATCCCTCCAGGCCGAATCCCTTTCCAGGCAGTACCCCCTCCAAGTTGCAGCGTCATGGGATGTATCCCTCGAGGGCTGGACCCCTCCAGGATGTAACCCTCTGGAACGCTCCCTTGCAGCCCTCTGAGCTGAACCCTCCTCACTTTTATGACCTTTGCTGCACACTTTGGGATCGCCCCACACGGGATGCCACCTCCCGGCTGTGCCCCTCCAAGCTGTAACCCTGAGGGGCTGCATCCTTGGAGGGACTGTTGCTGGAAGACACAAAAGTGGGTGAAAGAAGGGATCTCTGGCCTTCATGATCACGAGGACCCCGCCATTCTTGGAGAGGGCACGGGGAGAGAAAGCCGTGTTGAAGACCCCATTGCAGACAAGAAGGCTCCGGCCAGCTTGCCCGGGGTCGGGAATGGCCAGCCTGGCCGAGACTCTTCCGAAAGGCCTTGGCATGAGGAGCCCGGGCGGGGCCGGGGAAGGCGGAGGGGGGCGGCCTCACTAGGAGACACGTCGGGAGGAGGGGGGAAAGAAGGGGGAAAAGAGGGAGGGGAGAAGGGAGGAAAGCGGGAGGGCAGATTTCTTCTGAGAGCTTGGGGAAAGCTTGGGGGCAAGGGGAGGCGGGGGTCGAAGGAGGAGTGAAGAAAAGCGAAGAATGACAGCGGCATGTTGGAAGACGAGAGTCGGGTGCAAAGAGGAGGGAGTGGGAGAGACAAAGGGGAAAGAGGCAGCTGCCCTCCAGTGCCGGCGCTGACCCGGCGGCGAGGACGGGGACGAGAGCCCAGAGCCGTCCCAAGAAGCAGCAGGGCCGACTCATCCCGTACCTCTCCCCCTCCTTCACCCTCCTGCCGGCCGCGGGCCACTGGTGGCAGTGGCCTTAATCACCCACTCGGACCGGGGAGAGGAAACTTCCCCGCTGGCGGACGGCGAAGCTCTGGGGCGGCGAGCACGGAGTGGGGAGGCACGCGTGGCTAGCAGCACCGCGGAGCCCCACGCCCCGGGGTCCAGCAGGAGCTGTGTTCCCGGCAGCGCGGTGTTTCCGCGGGCTACGACTTGGGGGCGAAACGGGGGGAAAGCGGGATACACCCCTTTGGCTGGTGACAAGCTTTGCTAAATCAGTCGTCCGGGATGCACGAGGAAGCCCTGGCCGCGGACCACTGTCGGGACGGAGACGATTCCCGTTCCCTCCCTGTCCCTCCGCCCCACCGCTTTCACAGGCGCTTCTCGCAGTTAAATAAAGTTCCCCCACACATCTGCGCCCCGGTCTCTCCTGGCCCAGTGTCTCCAGTCCGATGTAGCATTGCGGTGCGGGGTGTTGCTTGGTTCCGTGGGGTCTGGCAGGATGCCGACAGCTACGTGGGGTCCCTGGGTCAGGGACCTGCTCAACGGGGCAACGCTATCAGCGGTCGGGGAGAAGAGCACACCACACCCAGTACGGGAGCCTCCGCGATTTCTTTCTGTTATTTAGTATTTTTTTATTTATTTATTACTATTCATTTGCTGTCTGCTGGTAGCAGTTCTCTCTGGGCTGTCCGCACCGGGTGTATGCGGTGGGGTTTCTCGTCCTTCAGCACCCCCGTATCTCCCAGAGCCCTCCCAGGGTCCGTATTTCCCCCGCTGTTCGTATGCCAGATGCGGCTCACACCGTGCGGGAGTCGGCGGCGGCAGCGGCTGCAGAGGCGCGGTAGAGCAGCTCCCGCGCTCACCGCAGATGCATACGTACAGAGATATGCGTGTGTTTGTAACCTGTTTTCTTCTGCTCTTTTCCCGTCCGATGGGACGGGGCGGATACCGCTGAGAACCACGATCCCACTCACAAGTTGCGCGGGGATCGGCCTCCCGGAGCCGGCCAAAGTCGCGGGGAGCAGGATAACCGGGGGGCGAGAGATGCCCCGGCCTCCGCAGCTCTCCGGGAAGGGCTGCGGAGCGGGGGAGGGATCCTGCTGGGGGGGTTGGGACGATTCCACCCCACGTCCCAGAGCCGAGGTTCCCCCTTCCGCGCCCCGTCAGGCCTGGTCCCCGCTCCGGGCCGGGGGAGCGGCTGAGCGGGACCAGTCCCGGGGGGGCGACCGGGGTAAGTGACGGTTCCGCGACCAGCCTGGCCCGGGAGGGCGGCACGGCAGCCGCCCGGCCGAGGGGGCACCCTCTGCCCCCCCGGAGCACGGGCGGGGCCGGCCGGGCTTGTACCGTGGGGAGGCAATTTACTCATTTGCCCGGTGAAAAGAGAAAGCACGAGAAATTCAATTAAAGCGGCTCTGGCAAAAGGAGTTATTTGAGGCATGAATGTCTCCCCTAAAGCTGCAGCAATCATGTGGCATTAGACACTTCCGGAATCCTATAGCCAACTTGAAAAATCCCAGACCCCTTTTTTCCCTAATTTTTGCTCTGATCTGTAATTTTATCCACATTTGCACTAGTTTGAGCATTCTGGCTCTCCCATCTGAAAGCCTGCAATTACTATATAATTCTTCGCAATTTCACATGTCCTAATATGGACTGTAATTTTTGCGCAAGACAATTTCCTGCTATTTCAAGCATCAACATTGTCAAAGTTGTATGTACATAATAAATGGGAATATCAATGCATAGTTTTTAGCATAACATCTTGACTCCTCGATAATTATATCCGTTCGGAGCCTACGCAGAATTAGCCTGAATTGCATGGTAACTGCTGCTGCTTTAAAATTTTTAAAAATTACTCATAATTTTCCCAAAGATTACCAAGATCTCGAGTGCACAATGTCATCAGCGTAATGAAGAGTAAACATTTATGCTAATAATCTGCAATTTTTTTCATCAGCTATAAAGACAGAGGCTATATAGCAGAAAATTTCAGTCATATTCTGCAAGAGCAGAGCTGCAAAAAGGCTGCTGCGCTCAGAGGCATGTGCATCTCTGGGGGATCTCAATCCACATTTCCAATCTCAGGATATTATTATTGTGCTCGGCTTCTTTTTTTTTTTTTTTTTTTTTTTTTTTTTTTTTTTTTTTTTTCTTCCTTTTTTTTTTTTTTTTTTTTTTTTTTTTTTCGCTTTCTTTCTCCCTCCCCGATCCTTTCCCTCTCTCTCACATTCTCTCGTTCTTCTAACTTTCGTAGCAAAAGCCGCGTTCGGTGCTTTGGTTTGTTGTAAAGCAAAGACTTGTGTCCAGAGCCTCAGGGACTGAGGCGAAGGTAAGGGTGGCGACACAGGCTCCTTTCTCGCGGGGGTAGGTGAGTGTACCGGGCGCGGGCCGGGAGAGGGGGGAAATACCGACGGCGGCTCCACCGACCCTGTCTCCCCGCAAAACTGCCCGCCGGCGGCACCGGGGCGAGGAAGGGAGTGGGGCGGCGGGCCGGGCGACGGGGATGCCGCGCACAGCCGAGCCGAGCCGCGCCGAGCCGAGCCGAGCCGAGCCGAGCCGAGCCGAGCCGAGCCGAGCCGAGCCGAGCCGAGCCGAGCCGCGGAGCCCGGCGCGGGCAGGGCGGCGCGGGGGCACTCGCCGCCCGGGACTGCCGCGCTGCCGGGGGCTGCCGGCGCCGGCGTGCGCTCGTTTTCGGCGGTGGTTTCGTGGTGTGCGTTTGTCGGTCCCTTGCGAAGGGGAGCGTTACTGCCCGGTCCCGAGCCGGGAGGCGGGAGGGTAAGACGCCGGTGCAGAGGGGGACATGGCACCTATTCACTGGCATGAGAGTGGCGGTGGCGGCAGGAGCGGGGTTAGGAGGGCGGCGGCGGGGAGAGCGGAGCGGGCGGCGGCGGGGATTTCTTATCCCCCTCTGTCAAACGAAGGGAGCAAATTCCGAATGCAAACGGGCTTGGGCTCTGATATTTGATTTTTTTTCTAGTTTCAGGGGCCGCTCTGTGCTCTGCAATTAGATTGACACATGTACAACATCCCCAGCTATTCAAGGGGGTTCGCAGGGACACTCCAAGGGGATTTTTTTTTTTCCCTTTTTCTTTTTGGGTGGAAGATATTAAAGAGGTATCTGTTGTTTGGCAATTTTGCTAAGTCTGTCTTCATTACTTCAACATTGTGCATTTGCTAATTTGGAAGCCCCTTCCTATTGACAGCTCTGCTCCATACACCTGCAAGCAATTTGCAGAGCTCCAATATAGGAGAATTGCAGAGATGGCAGCTCGCACCTATTTTATTTTTTTTTTTCTTCGCTTTTCTCAATGCACAGCAAATTTGGCTTTCAGTGCGTTATCTCTTTTGTTAATGCAAAAAGATTCCCTGGGCGAAAAAATTGCTCATAATTACCAGAGAGATGGGGAAACTGCATTAGAATAAATAAACCTGAAATTACTGTAATTATGTTGTGTTTGATGGGCTCGGCTTGTAATCAAGAAGAGAATACAGTGAAATGATGCTGACCCTCTTGGGTTTGCAGCTGTACGCGCACTTTGGGGTCTTTTTTTGCAGAAAAGAGTCATTTTGATCATCATTAAGCTGTGTGTAACCTATTTCAGAAGTGTTTGAAAATGAGGGGCACTTTTTTTTTTTTTCCCCCAACAAGGAAAAATATATCCCAAAATTACATTTTGCCATTTACGGACACATCCATAAGGTTGTATTTGCCGGGTGACAATTGGTAAAGGTATAATATTCGAAATCAGGGCTTAATCATTGTAATGAGGTATTGTTTCAATATAAGCACCTTTGGATTATTCATAGTTTAATTAATATCCTCATTATGAAAATCTTCGAATCAGATATTTGATGAACTACTTGTCAGCAACAAGGCAGAATTAATTAGGCCTGTATTGAGATTAACATTTCCAAATGTACAATTATAATAGCCTCTAACTCAAGATCGCCTCGCTGAGAGAAAACGGTTAATTTCTCTATTTGAACTGTTAGCAAGCCGTTATTGAATTAGGAGAAGCTAATATATCTTTAAAGCTCTCCGAGCTGCTTGAGCACCCCTCTTCGGCCCGGCCAAAGGCGTTTGGTCACCGGCAGAGCCGCCGCGGGAGCTGTGTGGGTCCTGGGGCGCTACGGGGGCCGCGGAGCTCTCCGGCTCGCTCGGGACTTCGGGCCGCTCGGGACCAGACTCGGGCCGTGGCCCTGCGGGAAATGCGGCGCTGCGGAGCGTGTGGTGTCCGATGCAGCGCCCCGCGCCGCCGCGCCGCGTGTGCGCGCTGGGGCGGATGCTGCGCTGCCGCGCCTCGGCTGCGCACCGGGGAGTGGGTGCGTATCTCGGGGCACGCGAGTGAGCGTGGCCCCCGCGGGGCTGCACAGCAGATCCCTCGCGGAGCCTGCGCGCAGAGATGCGCACGGGCAGCCGGCCGAGCCCGGCCGCTGCCGGCTTCCTCCGCTCTGCAGCGCTTTACCCACCCCAGCAATAGCCACGGGTTGTGCCGGCGCTGGTCCAGCCCGGGGAGCGGGCACGGCTCGGTCCAGGGCTGGATGACCGCGGCGGTACCGGCACAGCTTCGCCTCCCGTGGGATGAGAGGGTAGACGGCCGGCTCGGCTGTTGGGACGGGGCCCGGGGCTCTCTCGGCTTGAGCACATCCCCTTCCCGTCCCAGCAGCTGTGCCCGGCTTCCCCCGGCTCCGAGCAGCCCCTCCACGGAGGGTCCCCGATCCATCGCGACGGCTGCCACCGCCTAACCGGGCCCGGCCGGGCGCACGGGGGACAGGCTGCCCTGTCCGGGGCTCGTCGCTCCTCCGTCTCGCCTCCCGGTTTACGGCCACCGCCGTCCCGCCGCGGAACGCGGAGCCTGGCCCGGGCCCCGCTGCCGGCCGCGCTACGGGACAGGGAGCATGCGTGTCTCTTTTTCCAAACCATAATTTTACTGTCTCAAAGAAACTTTATAACTTATGTACAAAGATTTGTGTGGGTTTTTTTTCCATTTCCTCCCCCAGATACAAAGCAATAAGTTAACATTCTCAATATAAAACTAAACTTTGACATATAGAACACTAAACACAGCCGAGCTCAGTTTATCACATTTTCCGAATTTCACAAGTAAAATGTCAAGATCTCAGTACACAAAGCATCATGTTTTACAGCCACACGAAACAGAACAGAAATAATAATTATAATAATAAAAAAGGCTAAATTTGTGCAACATGTTTACAGAACAATAATAATAATAATAATAATAATAATAATTAAGAATAAAATATGTACAGCGAGTAGCTCCTGCACGTCGATTTGTGCATTTCGACTTCGGGCCGGCTTTGCGCGGGGAGGCCGCGCCGGGACTGCGCCGGTGTGCCCGCCCGCCCTCCCGGTGGGTCCCCCCCGCCGCCCTCCGGGATGTCGTTCCGTCCTCTGCGCCTTGCTTCACCTCAGCAAAGCGCTGGCAGCTGCTGTAATTCCACTTCAGGGTACCAAACAATGTGCATTTATTTCCTTCGTTTAATACTCGAGAAATGCAAATCATTCGGACCAAAACTTCCCACACCAGCGAAGTATAAAAGTTACTGTCAAAGTTAAAATCGCATCCTTCCCTCGTCGTGATTTATTCGGGGAGAAGGGGGGGGGAACGGGACGACGGACCGTCTGTGGTTTTGTTTAAACTGTGCGTCCAAGCAATACACTCAGCAAGCTGAGTTCGTTTCTAGTACTCTCATAGTGGTAATTTAAATCAATAAATAAACCCCCTGTCTTCCCCTTTTAACAACAACAAAAAATATACAGATGGATAGTGAAAGGTACAGAAAATGTCGCGGGAAGGAAGCTCTGGTAAATTGTAAAGCTTCCTTCCCCTTTGCAATTTAAGAGACGGTCAGATCGCGGTAGTAAATAAATGACCTACATTTCAACAGACACAGACAGACAGACAGGACAGAGGAGAGGGCTTCCCCGCCCCCCAGACATCTTTTTCTGATTGTCCCACAAAGCCGCGGCCGGCGCTCGCTCTGCTCCCAGGCTGTTGTGCGGTGCTCGGGGCCGCTCCGTCAGCTGTCAGCGGTGGGAACCGGCCCGCATCACATCTGTGCTCTCCTGCACCGAGCTACCGTGCAGCGTCCTAATGGCTGGATGGGCAAGAGACCTCCTGTTTGTTTGTTTGCTTGGGTTTCTTTTGTGGTTTTGTTTTTCTTTTTTTTTTTTTAATTATTTCTCTCTTTCCCCCTCTTTTTTTTTTTTTTCCTTTT